CAGTTGACAGAATTTTTAGTACATGGCCCAGGCCTTGCCATTCCATATATTCCAACCAATCAGCCATAGTGGTTACCTTGGTCATTGCAATATGATAAATGACAGGTGAGGGGCATAGTTCTGGGACTGTGTAGGCCAGCTGACAATGACAGAGCTGTTAGCTTTGCGAAAACTCAGAGTGGTAAAGGAAATGTAAGCCTGAAGTTGCTAGGAATCTCAGTAATGGAATTCCAAGGCTAGGAATGAAGCCATGCCCAGGACACATCATCAAGGTACTGCTGTTGGAGGCAAGGATCAAGTCCGTACCTGGTATTTAGGTTCTTGGGTGTAGAACATGATCCTTGAAACCAGACTGAGATGAATACTAAGCTGACCATGACCATGGGTTAGTGCTTTCATGAATGGATTAATGCCATTACCATCGGAGCAGACTCATTACTGTAGAAGAGCGTAACTTACAAAAGGCCCACAGGGTGGCCTTTCTCTAACCCTACATCTGCCCTCCACCATGGACAACACAGCAAGAAGGTCCTCACAAGTTGTCAACCCCTCAGTCTGAAACTTCCCAATCTCTGGAACAGTCAGGAAATAAATTTTGGTTCTTTATAAATTACCCAGTCTAAGGCATTAACACTACAAAAGGACTAAGACAATGATCGTGCTTTAATTTGATCCTAACTGGAGGATTAAACATAATAGCACAGAAAAAGGGCTTAGACTACCTGATACATACTGACTGATCGATAAATGTTACGCAGTACGTAGATTTTTATCCATGGCTCTGGTGTTTAAAGCAGCTATAAATGTTCTTTTTTCTGGTTCTTTTTTGGTCTTCTTTCACTTGCAACCAGTCTTGTCACAATATATATAAAACGTATATACATGTTTTTTGTTTGTTTGTTTGTTTTTGTGCCAAAGATCAAACTCACAACCTTGCGCTTACCGGGTGGGTGCTGTGTCACTGAGCTAACTCCCCAGCCACTGTCTAATATGATAAAAAGCAGAAAAATCAGGGTGTATATGTTTAAACAGGCCAACTCTCTTTCTCTACACCAAGGCAGAGGACAGGTCAAAGCAAATGAATGAGGACCACGTAGGGCTCCTGACTTGACATCTATCAGTGATTTTATACGCAGTCACTGAGTTCTCAACTCCTGGTTAGGAAACTCAGTTTTCCTCATTGGCATCCTATTTATTCACGAAAATCCTCCTTCTTCTATGTTACCAGTTAATAATATCCCTCCTATGAAGAGTTATTTTTAAAGTTCACAAAATTACAAAATGTAAAGAATCAAACTTAAGGTCAGAGCTAGAAATAAAGAATTATTTCCATCATTAAAATATACTTCGGTTTCTTTTTATTTAAGCCTCAAGCTGGAAACTTTTTCCATAATAGTTTAAAGTAAATACTATTATTACCAAGCAGCCTACATGCTAAATAGCATACTTTTCATGGTGTAGATTTCTGGAGGGATATGCAGGGGATTTGCATGCTTAATTCCCATTAGCACCTGTCACTGGGATTTATTATCCCAGAGATAATTCTCCACTGTCTGCAGCCAGGAAAAAGGAAGCCCTTGTATATGGATTTAAATGAAGCTTTTCATTCTTGAAAATGAAATGAATTTCGTATCAGTTCCTTAAACACCTGCAACATTCCAATCCTAAAAATTCATATTTGGACTTTTTTTGGTCAAAATGTGTGCAACTTTGCTTTAAACGACATGTAGAAGAGTCTACTCATAATTTGAAAATGTACTGGTGAGGGCTGGTAGTGATCCAATACCAAGATCATTAATGGTCCGGTACAACAGTGATCCAGTACTTGAATCAGTTTTAGAATCCATTGGCTCTTGTGCACTAATCAATATGAGCATCTATAATATGCTGAGCTATGTTCTAGATTCTGGGTACAAAGTACTGAACATACTGAAAATAACTATGCCCCTTAAGAACTGTATATTCTATTGTAGAATGTGTATGTGTATAATACATACACACTTACGTAGACACACAAAACAGGTACTACATGGGAAAATCAAACCAGCTGCATGCTCTGGGGGGTGATGGCTTTTTTCTATTTTAGATTAATTCATCAGAGGTCTCTCTAGGCAGTGATGTATGAGCACAGATTTGAGTAGTATTCACAGGCATTCTTTCCTTTATGAAGTAAAAGATAACAAACAAAAAGGCGGGCAGAATGCTGATCTTCAGCAAGCTCCATATGCAACCTTAGAGAGGGAGACAGTTTCCTGGTGGCTCAGCTGATCTTCCAAGGAGCTGTGGCTTTCAAGGTCCTTGCTCCTAAGCTTCTTATCCTTGCCACCAACCCTTTCTCAAGCCACTGTCTTGCCCTCTTTAGAGTGAATTTCAATACTAACCTACTTTTCCCTTTCTTTTCTCCTAATTCAAGGAATCAGTTCCATGCCATATTTGCTTTTGAGCACTTGGATTCCCCAAAACCACATAACACAGTGATTTCAACCTTCTTTAACTATCCTAGACTTTGAAGAGTCTGCCTAGGGGGCAATTTTAGTGACCAAACGACCACTACTAATTGAATATCAGCTCTCTATCAGGTTCTCTATTAAGAGCTGGGGACAAAATGAGGAACAAGACAATGTGCTTTAAGAGAGTTAACTTCTAATAAGAAAGGCAGAGAATAACATTGTAAGTGAATAAACTGATAAATTTCAGTACTGTGAATATGATAGTAAGCATTCATGGGGATTTCTTTTATACTACTTAAGCTACTGTCCTTGGGAAAATAGTTAAGAAAAATATAAAATATCAGCGTGATGTAATACTCAAAATAACTCAAAATAACTGACAGAACTGACTGTCTACGTTTCTAAATGTAAATACATGAATTAAATAAAATTGAAGCTCCCAACAGACACTAGCCACACTGCAATTGTTCAATAGCCATATGTGTCCAATGACTAGTATTTAAGACAGCAGAGATATAAACACGTTCCTTCTTGTTGCAAAAAGTTATGTTGAATAATACTAATACAGACAGCATGAGGGTGACAAAACTCTTCCATCCATGGTAAGAACAGTAGTTACAATAACTACACTTGCCAGGCATTTTACATGCATTTCACTCATTGTATGGTCACAGAACCCTGTGAGGTAATTAGTGCTGCTAGTCCCATTTTACAGCTTGGGGAGCAGACAGCTAGCCTTACTGTCCTGTATTATTCAGTTAGCAAAGCACTAAGAACTGGCCCTGCAATGTGTTACTGAAGTCCACCGTCTTACCAAAGTATTCTGATATCTCCGTAGGGGAAACTGAAGAGAATAAGCGCTCATAGTGTGGCACACAGAGCCTCCACCGCGGTAGCAAGTGGCTCCTTTTGCTGATGTCTTTGGCAGCTAGCGCTTTTCAGGTCTAAAGATTCATCCAGACAGTTCTTAAGTTTGATTCGGATGGTGCTGTGGAGGCAGAATGATGGCGTGTTCCAACGGAAAAGCCTTATTAAGTCATTTTACAGATGAAGAAACTGAGCCACAGGTCAGGTGAAGAAAGTTCATCTGACCTGTCCTGGATAACACAGGCCAAATTAGACATTTCCTGTATGTGTCTACACATGACCTGGCTGCCACCCACATTTTGACATTCCCGATATAATGCTCAGGAGTTTTAGTCATACTAATTTTGGGAAGGGATTTTCTCTTTTCCAGAATATTGGCTTCGCCACTACATTTGCATTTTAATCTACCCACTTTCCTTTTGTCTAACCTTGCCCTTTTCACTCTCCCATTCTTCTCTTCCTTTACCATCACCACAGGAATTCACGACGGAACTACTCAGATCAGACTTCTAAGCCAAGGCAGCCTCCACAAGCTGTTAGGAATCTGAAAAGCAAAGCATAGGTTCAACATCACTCGTGGCGAGTGTCCCCAAATTTTGCTTCGCGTTTCTCGCCGGAAGCTTCTCCCAACCTTGCTTCGTCGGCCTCCGAGGCGTGCCAGTGCGTGCGGCCGCAGTAGCGGTTGGCACTGAGCTGTAGTTTCCATTCCACGGCCCGGAGGTCACAGGCGCCCCCAGCGCACGACAGCGTGAGCGGCGCCGAGGACCAAGGACGCTGCCACAGCCTCACGCCTTCCTCTGCATCCCTGAGGGGCAAGTTGGCGGCTGCACCCGACCTCGGCGCGGGAGACCCTAAGTCTAGGCGCGGTGCAGTCCAGGGAGCCTACAGAAGCCCGCGCGCCTGGAGGAGAAGCTGGCTGGCTGCAGGCTGGGTGGGCGCCCCCTCGCCGCCGCGTCGTCCAGACCTCCCTTATCTTGGCGGCAGGCGGCGAGCTCCGGCGGCGTACCCCACCCCTCCCGCGCCGCACGCACATCCCCTTCCACCCGCGCGCACCTAGGGCGGGGCACCTCGCCCTGCCACGAGGCGCCCCACACCCGGCCACGCCGCGCCCGCTCCGGAGGGTCTTCCTGGCTCCGCCCCACTGCCCCGCCCCGCCCCGCCGCCCGACCTCGCGGACTGGCGCTTCCACGCCCGGCGCGGCTGCTTGGCCTGCGCCTCCCAGTCTCCCCGAGTGGGGGCAGAGCGGCGCTCGCGGCGGCCGGGCGGGAGGCGCGGGAGCTAGGGACCTTCAAACTCCTCCTCGGCGGCTCCTCCCCGCCCTCCTGGCTCCTGCCGCGGAGAAAGTGGAGCGTGGCGCTCGCGCGTCGCTGTTTCTCCGGACGCTCCGCGGCGCACGGGTCCGGCGGGGCTCTCTCAGCGCTCCGCGTCTCCCCGGCGTCCCCACGCACCTCTGTCGAGGATGAGGAAAGGGCTGCGGGCGACGGCGGCCCGCTGCGGACTGGGACTGGGATACGCGCTGCAGACGCTCGTGCTACCTGCCCTGGCCCTGCTCGGCGCCACCGGTACCGGCTCCGCCGCCCAAGGTAGGGGTCCGCGGCCGGCCACCTCCCTACGCCCCCTTTCCGCTTGCTCCCTGCTTCTTGCGCGCAGCGCTTCACCAAGGGCCACTTTAAACGCCAGAAATGCCACTTTGCCAACTAGTCAAGGAGCTGCTACCGTGCTGGTCTTTAATTTGTCTTTCGAGCTGGGCCAGGGTGGACCAGGGACGCACGGGTGAGGGATGCGCATCCGTCCCCGTCCACGGGCGTGTGGGGCTCTGGGTGTCTTTGCACTTTTTGATCCGCACGCGCACGGTGTTGCATGCTGTGCCCGGGAGGCTTGGGGACTTGTGCTGCGTGCTGTCCGTGCGCTCTGGCTCCCCGCGCCGTGCCGCGCCCGGAGTGGCAAGGTCTCCCGGAGCTCGGCGCGGGCAGCGCGTCCTCAGCCTCCGCGGAAGAGCCGCAGGCGCCCTTGCCCGGCGGCCGCTGCTGCTTGGGCCGGCGTCCTGGCACGCAGGCCGCTGGTGCCCGCCTCTGTGCGCCCTCCTTCCTTCGGGGCCGTGGGGAACTTAAAAGCCCAAGCTCTGGGGGACCGCCGGTCGTTCCAACCGAACCTGCAACTCCTCCGAGCAACCAGCCAGTTTGACGCCGACGTTTTGCCCGTGAGCTTCAAAATAAGTATCCAGGGGCCTGGGGAGAGCCCGGGTGGAAGGAGCGCAGGCCGAGTTGAAGGTGGGTAAGAGGCAGAGGAGAGGCAGGCGATCGCAGGACTCCCTTCTCTCCCTGAGTTTGGAATGGCAGCGCCAGCTTCCATCCTTCCGAGAAGGTTCCCCTCCCCACCCTGGTTTCTCCTAACCTATTTGGGCTCCTAACTTGGCCAGACCAAGTGCACACCTAGCTATCCCCCGTTTGCGGGTGATCGCTGGCTCGCGGAGCTGCGCAGAGCAGTTTTTCCTGGGTGGTGGTGGTGGGTGTATTGGGAAGATGCTAGTGCTGCTTGGAGAGGCAATCCGGGGATCTCCCCTACACACAGGCTCTCTCCCTCCCTCTCTCTCTCTCCCTCTCTCACTCACTCCTCGTTACACTTTCCGAATTTGGAGAGCTGGGGCGGAGGCGGTAGCCCCAACTCCTCGGTGATGCTGGGGGCTGGCGCTCCAGACTCCTCGGTGTTGCTGGGAGCTGGCGCTCCAGACTCCGCGGTCTCCTGGGGATGCTGTGGGGTGAAGGGGCCCAGTAGAACTGGAGGGAGCTGAGAGAGAGGCTGGTGTGGTCGGGTGGGAGGTAAGTGATTAGCAAAGCTTTGTCAATTAGCGATAGCTACTTTGGAGTAAATTTTCCCGTTGCCCTGCTAAGTGGGCAGTCTCATAAATCCTTCCTTCCTTTCTGCAAGATGCCTCCGGTCCATGAGGCTATGCTCAGGTTTTCTTAGGAACACCTCCAGAAATCATCTGTCTATCCATTTTAGAAAGAAAAATCTCTATTGGGAACCATAGGATCTTGTACATTTCTTGAAATTGGGAAGACATGGAGGCTGGGGCTGTAGTGGGAAAGCACTTGGGAGTTGAGAGGCACGACCTGATGAGCGGGCAGGCTGTGGGTTCACCTGGTGACTCTTAGGGAATTTACCTGCTCTTGGGCACACAAAGGATGGTGTCCAGGAGGGCCTGGCACTGGCTACAAAGAGAAGAGTTTGGGAAAGAGGAGTTAAAAGTCCCCAAACGTGCCAAAAGGACATGGGGTCCCTGCAGAGAGCTTACAACAGCCAAATTAAATACTGGGTAGAAAAAGGATCAATAAAGATAATCAAGTAGGAGCCTGTAAATGGATTAATGTGTAAAGAAAGGAAAAGAGATTAAAAGGAAAGGCACTGGGATGAGAGAAACTGGGCGTTTGCGTCTTGCACTTTTGATTCTTGTAGACCAAACAAGTAAAAGACTGGGTGTGAAGTAGAAAAGGGAAATGTGTTCTGCTGCTTGTATGCATTGCAGTAGAGTCCTTCTCCATTTCTTGTGCTCCTTTAGTGCTAGATGAATACATTTTGTTGTTGTTGTTGTTTTAAGCTCTGTGCTCTTTGAAATATAACACCATTTTTATCTTTGTTTTCTTCCATGCTCCTGGACACCAGCTCTCCCTGTGGTGTCGGTTAGGTATCAGAGAAGATATACAGCTCAGCTCCGAACTCTCAGCTACTGTTATTGTGGCTGTTACCCATTCCAGGCCTACTTACTGCTGAACTGCTTAACACTTTGCTCTCAGAATCACACAGGGTTCAGTGCCAGATAGTCAGGACTCCATCTCTTTCCATTCTTGTGCTTCCCAGTGCATTGGCACCCTGGCCTATACCATCAAGGAGTGATGTCTGGTCTGATAAGTTGAAGAGAAAAGACCAGAGCCTACTCTTTTTATGAATGGAAGTATGTATGCAATTAAAACAGGAAAGTTCATTACTTTTCAATGTAAGTGAGGTTTTAAAATCTGTTGAACTGTTGGAAAATTAGAAGCTTTTGGAAATACATATCTCAGTGATAGTCAAGTCCATTTGTTTAAGATAGAACAGCAGAATGGGTATTGAGTGCGGTTTGTTTGTAACTAGTTTAAAGACAAAAGGCAGTCATTCAAAATAGGGCCTTGGGAAATTCTCTATCCTTTAGGCATCAACTTACTTCTTTCTGGCTATGCTCTAATTGTTTCATTTAGGGTTGCTGGGAATTCCTAGCTCCAGGGAATTTGTGGTGCTTCTGACTTCCAAGAATGATACATTTTACTACTAAAGATAGTGGTGTATGTGAATGTATGTGTACATGTGCCAGTGTATGATCAGCGATTCTGAATTAATAAAATGCATTTTATCTGTGCTATACAGCATCAAAGTTCTGCTTATCTAGCACCAACTAGTGTTACAAGTGTTAACACATCCAAATGCAGCACAGAAAATTCTTGGGCTGTAATCAGACTGGGATCATTTTGTATTATTAAGTTAATTTATAGTGGGTTTTCTTTTTATTGAAACAACAATTTTCCTGTGAAAGAATGTAGAGTACTTTTACAGATTTATATGAGTGTTGACATTAGGCACTGAAGCCTAACTGAATTTTCTTACAACTTCACCATGTATTTTTTTCTTGCTAGGAAAAAAATTTATGGACTCATTTAGAAATTTGTAATAAAAAATTGACTAGTTTCCTTTTTATTTATAAACATAATGTGTGTTGTAGCTTAGAAAATGCTTAGAGTCCTAAAACAATACCTTTACAAGCAATTGCAAAAAAATGAGGAATCATTAAATTATAACAGATTTATTGATCTCCTAGCTTCTTTGCTTTGGGTTTGGAGGATTTAGAGTTAAATAAGACAGGATTCTGAAAGTGTCTTATATTGTACTTTGGGAACTGGTTGTAATCAAAATTGGAAGTAATCTGTTTTAAACAAGTACCCTAAGGATAGGAAACAGGCATGAATTCTGCTAGGCATACCCTCTTATCTGGCATGGATTTATTTAAATATAACAGTTCTGTACTTCAAGCTAGGTTGTCCAGTTAGTACAATAGCCCATACATTCTCTAGTAGGCCTTGACTGCATTTAGCACTTTTCTGATTTAGGTCATGGCTTTACTGGAGCAGCAGAGGGAGTCACTCTCAGAAGAAACTTCAGTGTTGCTGACTATAACCACTTTCAGAAGAGCAGGAGGAAAGAGTGGGGGTGGAGACCCAGCCAGTGCTTCTGCCTCACAATCCCAGCCTATACTTGACTTTTTGTATTTATTGTAGTTAAAAAAAAAACACTTGTTCATATTTTCCTACAAATTAGAAACTCAGCAGCTCTTCTGGATAAGTGTGTTATTACAGGTAAAGGGCACAATTTTTGTGCACTCTATGCAGTTTATTAGGGACATGGAGTTGAATGAGACAGCTCTAGCCATCAAGAAGACAGACATATAGGCCTGTAGTATATCATTCATTTCTGAAATATAGCAATGGGCAGATCTAACTATTTTCTGCATTTAAATATCCAAGATAGTAATCATGATAAGATCAGAGTGCTGATGTAAGTGGTGGTGCTGGGTCCATAATTTCTACACAGAGGACTTTAAGGACGGAGGTTTGGCTAGAGACAGGGTTTTCTTGAAGCTAAATTTGCATTTTTTTTCTTTTTTTTTTTTTTTAAATTTTATTTAAGGAGAAAAAAAAAGGGTACAAGTTATACAGAATTTCAGAAAAAATAAACAGGAAATCACTAGTTAATAGAATACATATTGTTATCTTAGAAATAATTGTTCAAGTTACAAAATTAAAGCATATAGAGTGGACAGTGAGACTGCAAACAGCTCTGTTCAATGATACAATAAAACTTGGTAATATGGTTACCTATCTTATACACTTAAATATACATGCAGTTATGTCCTTTAGAGCACTTTCTTTTCCTTTCTTTTGTACAATGACAATTACTCAATTTGGATTTTATTACTCTCACTGTTCTTATTACTTTTTTTTTGAAGAAAGTAAAACCAAATGTGACATAATAGGACAGAGTCAGTCAATCAAAAGGATGGACATAATACATAATGTAAAAACAAAATACAAGGTGATCAACGATGGTTACCATTAATGCCTCTTGCTATCTTAAAAAGAATTGCCTATATCATCAGTTATAATAAAATTGAACAAGACAGTAAAGAACAAGACCAATAAAACCAAAACATTGGAGACATTAGAGGACTTCAAAAGAAGATAATAGTCAATCAGAATGGACATCATAATGAATCTTAATGTCTTCATAGTTGTTGCCTATACTTTCGAACTTGGTACTATCAAGCAAAACAGAATAGAGGAAAATCAGTCAAAACAAGATGGTGAAAGCAATACAGGATTTCAAATCAAGTTAGTAGGAAATCAATGTGGGTTACTATAATATTTCCTGCTATTTTTTATTTTTCCCTTAATTAAAAGGATAAAAATGAAAAAGTAGATAATAAAAAGGAGATTGAGATAAAAAAGAGGACATAACAACAAAACAGTGCAGGTCAAAACATAGCCATTTAAGCAAAATAGTATTTCACCACACCATAATCTCGACATAGAGTAGTTACTATATTTGCATTTTAAGAGTGTGTTGCTTGGATTTAGTGTATATTTTGCCTACCTTTGGAGAGGCACAAGCTGAGGACTGATGGTAACAGATGCCCATTCTACTAGGTAGCATAGTGACCACCGATATCTGCCATCTGTGTGGCCACGCATGAAAGAGCCTTTCATGCCAGTTTCCACACACGTGAAGTGAGAATGTTGCATACTTCGAGGTCATCGGGTTGACTAAATTTCTTCACATAAATAAACTATAGAGCAGTATTTATTCCCAGAATATAACTATTATTTCTTGTTTTAAACTCTGCAGAACATTGATAAATTTGAAACATTAAAGAAATTAAAGGTCAGTACTTTGAATTCCGACTGAGGATAGCTTGTAGGTGCTGTTTCCCCAAAAGCAAGAGTGAAGCTGGCTGCACAGATGTTCGAAAATGGATCACTGCAAACTTCTGGCTAGAACAAGGTTCCTCTGCAGCCTGCGAGGGTCTCACCTCCTGTCTGAACCTCTTTTTTTTTCTTTCTAGTCTTTCTGGGAAAGGGAACCTAATACAGTACTAAACAAGCCCACATCAGGTCAGTGTCAGTTAAGTCTTGACAACAATCCTTACTCTCCATTTTCTATCTTTACAAGTAATATCAAAGGTAAT